TTCAATTTTTTATGTACATTTTCGCATCGCATTCATTGTTCGTACAAACACAAGAATTCGACAAGCACAAACATGTCCTTACGATGCTTGATTGTAACCGATGTCTGCCATCAGGAATAACACTGTAACCGATGTCTGCCATCAGGAATAACACTGTAACCGATGTCTGCCATCAGGAATAACACGCTACATTGCGTCCCCTCGATCTATTGAACCGTTTTGTCGATGAAGTGTCGCCATGAGGTTATGAGGCATCCGAGGGTTCTGAGGGTTTCGAGTGTCTCGAGGTTTCTAAACGCTCCTAGGGTTTCGAGGGTTACGATGGTTCCGAGGAAACCATGCGTTCAGAGCGTTTGAAAGTTCCGAGGTTTCCAAAAGTTCAGAGTTGTGAATTGTGAAGGATCTGAAGGCTTCAGGTGTTCTGAGGGTCCTCAGGGTTCCGATGGTTTAGAGGGTTCCACGGTTTCTAAGGGTACTGAGAGTTCTCAGGGTTCTCAGGGTTCCGATGTTTTATAGGGTTCCTAGGGTTCTGAGGGTTCCAAGAGTTCCAAGGGTTGCGAGGGCTCTCGATCATGGCTCCAAGGGTTCTTACGGTCTTCAGGGCTTCGAGGAGAGGTCAGTCGGCTGATGATGTTCCCAGAAAAATCGAACTGCCTCATTTTGCTATTTTTTCTGCTGGGTTTATTCATGAAAATTACGATATTTTGTTTATTTTGTTCAGAACAGTTTGAACTTACCAAAATTTTTCTAATGTTATTGAAAATTGACGATGAGAAGATAAATGGTCGTCTGTTCGCAGGATACGAAAAACACGTAGCGCAGATTTTACTCATAATAATAATAATAATAATAATAGCGGTTTCAGCGTTTATTAGGCCGTAGGCCTGTCGCCGATTCTCAACATCGCAGAACATTCACAGCATTTTGCGGGTCTCGAACTCGCAACGTACTGCTACAATTCTGCTGTGCTTAACCGCCCGGCCTCCTTGCCGATTCTGACCAGAAACTGGCGCACAGAGCTGGGATCGAACCCGCGCCTCTCTGCCCCAATCTTGGTACTCTGAACTGTAACCACTGGGCCAGTGGTTACACTGAACTGTAACCACTGTAACCACTGGGACAAAAGTTGTAAAAAAATTCTAGATTGGGTCCGTGCATCCCATCGTTTTCTTCATTCACATTAGTATAAAAATCAGATATTATTTAAAAAAGAGAGTCCCTTTTTTTTGATTGAATAGACTTTTGATAAACCTGAACCTGGTCTTTTGATACAAAAAAAATTAAGTTTACTCAACTTGCCGCCTCATCGTACGTGCTGACACGCAATTCAACGATACCATATCACGCACGAGAGCTCAACATTATTGTCGAAAAAAGGGAAACTCAAGAAAAATAAATAATCACATTTTGTAAATAGCGACACTTTCGGAGCGCAGAACTAAAACACATGTTGTGTACCTGACTCAGGATGGGACAATACAGTAGCAAAATGTACGTCGCTGTTAGGACAAAGTCCCTCATTTTTTTGAGTGCAAGTGATGGGTGTGCACTAGTAACATCATCGTGCACTGGCAACATCATCATGCACTGGTAACATCATCATGCACTGGTAACATCATCATGCACTGGTAACATCATCATGCACTGGTAACATCATCGTGCACTCCGATGTCTGCCATCAGGAATAACACGCTACATTGCGTCCCCTCGATCTATTGAACCGTTTTGTCGATGAAGTGTCGCCATGAGGTTATGAGGCATCCGAGGGTTCTGCGGGTTTCAAGTGTCTCGAGGTTTCCAAACGCTCCTAGGGTTTCGAGGGTTCCGATGATTCAGAGGAAAAAATGCGTTCAGAGCGTTTGAAAGTTCCGAGGTTTCCAAAGCTCTGAGTGGTGAATTGTGAGGGATATGAAGGCTTCAGGTGTTCTGAGGGTTCTTAGGGTTCCGATGTTTTAGAGGGTTCCGAGGGTTCCGAGGGTTCCAAGGTTTCTAAGTGTATTGAGGGCTCTCAGGTCTTACACGGGTTCCGATTATTTATAGGGTTCCAAGAGTTCCAAGAGTTGCGAGGGCTCTCATGGCTCCGAGGGTTCATACGGTCTTCAGGATTTCGAGGGTTGTGAGGGTTTATCTGCACGCAGCAGCTCCAACAAACCCGGTAACCTCCTGAGCCCTCAAAGAACCCGAGGAGGTCGGTCGGCTGATGATGTTCCCAGAAAAATCGAACTGTCGTATGTTGCTATTTTTTGTGCTGGGTTTATTCATGAAAATTACGCTATTTTGTTAAGAGCAGTTTGAACTTACCAAAATTTTTCTAATGTTGTTAAAAATTGATGATGAGGAGATAAATGGTCAACTGTTTGCAGCATACGCTAAATAGAACGCGTCGCGCAGATTTTAGCCATGACGCAAGTTGTAAAAAATTCACTAGATTGGGTCCGTGCATCCCTTAGTTTTCTTCATTTTCATTAGTATAAAAATTATATACTATTTTAGAAAGTGAATCCCGTTTTTTTAATTGAATAGACTTTTAATAGACCTGAACCTAATCTTTTGATACAAAAAAAATTAAATTTACTCAATTTGCCGCCTCATCGTGCGCGTTGACACGCAATTCAACGGTACCATATCACGCACGAGAGCTCAACATTATTGTCGAAAAAAGGGAAACTTAGGAAAAATAATTAATCACATTGTGTAAATAGTGACACTTTCTGCGCGCAGGACTAAAACACACGTTGTGAAACTGAATCAGGGCGGGGCCAAACAAAAGAAAAATGAGCGTCGCTGTTAGGACAAAATTTCTCATTTCTTTGAGAGTGATGGCTGTGCACTGGTAACATCATCGTGCACTGGTATAGTCAGGCTGTGCAGCCTCATTCAGCACCAACGATTCCCACGAGAATTATAAATAGTAGAAAAACTCAACAAATTCTCATAGGTGTAAGTAATTTGTCAGAGTAAAATGGTTTGCGCATAAAGTCTTTTTACTTATCGGGAAAATTTTAATAAAGCGTATTTCTGGGTGACTCCTTTTGGCCTTCGAAGAAATTTTGTAGTCTTATCATAATGAAATATTGGAATAGGTCTTAAATTTTTTTGCTCCGTTTGACTGGGAAAAATTAAAGAAAGAAGCTCAATTTTCTTCTACTCACAACACTAACCGGCATGACGTGCTTTAATAATTGTTGCCGATAAGTCATTCAGTTATCAGTTAACGACGCCCGTCACGAAAACAATCAAACTTGTCCGCTTATCGCATGATGCTTAGTGCAGACACGGAGCTACAGCCGACGTCTTCACGGGTCATTATTTGACATGAGCAGACTTGCATGATTATCACTTGCTGCATGATTATCACTTGCTGCATGATTATCACTTGCTGCATGATTATCACTTGCTGCATGATTATCACTTGCTGCNGTTGACGTTGAGCAGCAGACGCTTGCTGCTGTCTCTTATACACATCTAGATGTGTATAAGAGACAGGCGTATACAAGCGTGCTGCTAACACGCATTGCGTGTACAAACGTGCTGCTAACACGCACTGCGTGTACAAACGTGCTGCTAACACGCACTGCGTGTACAAACGTGCTGCTAACACGCAATGTGTTCATTAATTGCGCAAGCGTTCATTGAGTGACGAGGCGCAAGAAACTGCATGATTTATTGCCCCTCCTGCACTCGCAAGTGACACCTGATGTGAAATTGCATGCATATTGTTTAAAAAATTAGGAGACTGTTTGTTATTGCGCGCTTCTAATCATACGTTCGTTATAAAAAAGTTCAACTATGCGTGCCTATGCCTGAACTTCAGATAAACCAGATTTTGCATGGTAAAAATTATGTTCCTACCTAACTTACGCCATGATTACCTTGGAATTTCCTTTCCTTGTATCTGATTGTTCTTGGCAACAATTTTTTCGCTTTATTTGTTTCTTTAAGATAATAATCGCGGAAAACGCTCAAAATTTTATTTCAGGAGTAAAAGCCACTTTGCTGTCAGCAACGGCAGCCATGTAATCTGGTGCATCCCGTTTCCAGAATGTAAGCAATATTCTATTTTTATTATGAAATATTCCGTATCCATTCTAAAGTTTTTTTTAGTGCAGCTATCAGCCTGCATCTTCGCTCGAATTGCGACTGATGGCACCTGAACCATAAAACTTCAATAGCAGTAATCGCTCTTGAGGGCCGTATACATACACTAGCTGGTAATGGCTACTCAGGGCCGTATGCTTCCACTAGCCGGTAATGGCTACTCAGGGCTGTATGCTTCCACTAGCCGGTAATGGCTACTCAGGGCCGTATGTTTCCATTAGTTGGTAATCACTGCTCAGAGCCTTATGCTTCCACTAGCCGGTAATCGCTACTCAGGGCCGTATGCTTCCACTAGCCGGTAATCGCTACTCAGGGCCGTATGCTTCCACTAGCCGGTAATCGCTACTCAGGGCCGTATGCTTCCACTAGCCGGTAATCGATAATTGGACATAAAGTACTTACTCGCTCTTGAATGCTTAACTCTCCACGACTAACACAATCCGTTCCGCCAAAACTCATGTCATTGAAGTACAACTTACTGTCATTTTATTCAATACACAAGAACCAACAATAATTTCATTGTAGCAGTTAAGATTCAGCACCAATCAAAATATTCCCACAGTGAACCGGAGTATAATTGCTTTGCTTGTGAGTTTTTTTGCAACACGCAATCTCGTATTCGTAGAAGTTCCACATAAGCCGACTTTCAACGTCATTAATAATTAAAGCACTGATATTCTGACCATTCCTCCGTGAAAAATGTCAAGGGCGGATATTTTTCCTTCTGACATCTGTGATGACAACCTTGTGTGTAATTTTAAGTTAACCTTTCAAGGCAACATTACTACTAAAAAATTGCGAAGCAACAGCCTTTGCTCACAGTGTGATATTCAAATTTGATATTAACATCCATACTCATCCGCTTTAACCATAAAAGGTAGAAGGCTAATAAAAAGTATCTATTGACTTACATCATAATTTATTCCTTACCCTATTAAAAGCTCTAGGGCACATAAGAACTTACATTTAGTTCATTCACGTCACAATTTGAACGTCGACTTGAATCATCACATTTATTCACAGGGGAAACGGCGATCAACGAACGGATTCAAATGCGGAGTTGGATTTTTCTCGAATAAAAAAGGTTTATGAAAGGAATTGAACTAATGTTCGCGCATAAGAAGCATATTATGTATTGTGATTAAAGTGGTGGAAATATAAAAACAACAATAATAAGTGTTTCTGAATCATTTTAATACGATCAAGAATAGGGCAGGAACCCTATTGAATAGGGCCGGAATTATTTAGTTTATCTAACATTTCAACTAATCTCGTTTCTTTTCATTTATGTTTCGAGGAAGTCACAGAAGAAGATCTCTCCTGTAGAAGTTTCCGAGTGAACCCAATTAGAAGTTTACCACAGTCACACATCTGAAAAAAATAAATAAAAAAATTCTACTTTATTTATGATATTTTATTCCTGACTTTATTCCAGCAGTTTTAATCCAATAAAAATGAATGATTGTATATTGTATGTTTAATTACCGATTCGTAAGAAAGAGAAGGAGATAGAGTAAAGCTAGTGCCCACTTGGCACTTGACGTTGGAAAAACACGGAATAAATGTTATTTAAACGGTATATACCTTTAATTAATGTCGTTACAACATTATTTGCCTGTAAAATAACAGTTATTCAAGGCTCACCTGAAGATTTCAGTCGATAGAGCAAGATGTCCGGATCCGGAGGCTCCTGAGGTAAAGACCTCACAATTCGTTCTCTCTGCGTAGGTCCTCTGTTGAACCGAGCTGTGGTCACAGAGCTGGAATTAGATATAGTAGGAATAAGGGAGCTGTTCAGGGACGCCGAAGGCTCAAAAGTTGGCGTGCTAGAGCCACAAAAGCCGCCACTGATGTTGCCGCTGGCAAACTGGTCCCTCATTTCGGTCTGGCCTGGTTGAATTTCAGGGGCGTGAGTCTCAGCAACTGATGCGAGAGATGTTGCTCTAAATCGATGGTCATCATCGATTTCTTCTTCATCTTCGTCTGCATTTTGTGCCCGCAACATGTGTTCTTTCTTACGTCGCAAGAGCATGACGATTGCGGCTGTCACGATACCACCAAATACAACCAAAATAGCCAAGACTACCACAAGAATAACCATGGCGCTGCCACCGCCATTTCCAGCACTGGCGTAAGCTGTGTCTGAGCTGAGGCGGCCTTCCGCTACATCGATTGGCGTCATATAGTTCACGATCAGCGGCGACGAATCTCCTCGAGCGTTGCTCGCGAATACCTGCGCACACAAAATATTAGGCTGAAAAAAAAGTATTGCACTGAATGTTTTGCAAGCCTGAGAAAGTGTATTGCACTAAATGTATTGGGAACCAGATGAAGTATTGCATTAAATATATAGCAAGCCAGAGGAAGTATTGCACAAAATGTATAGCGAGCCAGAGGAAGTATTGCACAAAATGTATTGTGAGCCTGAGGAAGTATTGAGCAACATGAATTACAAGGCTGTGGAAGGTTTTGTCCGAGGTACATCAAAAAAGAAAATTATAGTCTTTTAAAATAAAAATTTTCACTAAATAACAAATTGTAATTTAAATATTTACGTCTCAAATAATAAAAAATATTAGACAAGGAGGGAAAATGAGATAGGCAAGGATTCTTTTCCCATTAGGCATCGTTTGTCGCATTCTCACAGTTGTTAGAAATTCTGTATGGATAACTTTTTTTCAGAAAGTATGGCTCAAAATTGGAAATGATTAATGTTGCTAATAGTTAAAATATTGACGTCGCTATAAAAATTCTCACATTACTGAAAAAATAAATGTTTTTCTTAGAAGCACAGGTATAAGTTATTAGAAATTAAGTTGTTTTCATTTAGTATAAGATGAGCATAAATATTACGGAACGAAAATTTTCTATGAAAACATGTTCTCACCTGAAGGACATATTGGCGGACCGAAACTTTTCTATGAAAACATGTTCTCACCTGAAGGACATATTGACGGAACGAAAATTTTCCATCAAAACATGTTCTGACCTAAAGGACATATTGACAGAACGAAATTTTTCTATAAAAACATGTTCTGACCTGAAGAACATATTCCTGGCCAGCAGCAAGACCAGAAACCGTGAAATGAGGAGAAGATTGGCCGGTGAGGACGGCGGGCGGCGTCCGTAGACGACTGTCCTCGACCCCTCGAGACGAGCTGTCCAACTTGGTCGCGGGTGTTTGGCGCTGATCTTTTATGTATCGCACTGATCCGCCTCGGATCCATTCATCTATATTTCCATCCTCTGCATCGTTCCGACCAAGTCCATTTAGTCTGGATTTTGCGGAGAAGTTTTTCCCTTCCATAACTTTAAGAGTGAAGGATTGGACGAGCCCTCCGTCCCAGCCTGGCAAGCACCTCAGCACCAAAGTGTTGGGGGAACTGGGAGAGGTCGGCGACACTGTGCAGTTATGTACGCTGGCAGGGGTGCTTGCTGGCACCACCTGTACGAGGAAAATATTATTTGTGCAGTCATGTGTTGGTTAATTGTGCAGTTGTGTACGCTGGCAGGGGTGCTTGCTGGCACCACCTGTACGAGGAAAAATTATTTGTGCAGTTATGTGTTGGTTAATTGTGCAGTTATGTACGCTGGCAGGGGTGCTTGCTGGCACCACCTGTACGAGGGAAAATTATTTTTCTTTCATTGTTATCGACCTGCAAAAGAGGTTCCTATATGCAAGTTTGATTAAAAATCTGACTAATCATTTTATAAGTAATTTTCTTGATCGTTTTTTTAGTAAGTATTACAATATTACTTGCTGGCGTTGGCAACTCGATAAGAAGGTTATCAGAGGATAAATGTCGTTTGGTAAACTGTATATAAATTAATATACAATATTTATTTATTTTCATTTCTTAAAATCAATTTATGAGTATTATTAAATTATTTATTACTTATAAATAATTTATTATAATATAAATTACACTATATGGTAATAATTATTATTATTATATATGCTTAAAATTTTGATTAAAAATATATAATATTATCTTACTTGAATTATTTTTATATATTAAATTAATTATAATTCGTTAGTTGCATTTTTATTTAATAAATTATATGTTTAGAATTTACATTCTTTATTGTTAAACAAATGAAGATTTTTGCAACACTTGAAATGTAAACATCAAAATGTATATTTTCAGTATTAAATGCATGAAATATTCTAGTAGAAATGACCTCGTCGCTATAAATACGACGTTTTAGATTTATAGCGACTTCTTTGATATAAATACGAAGCTTTGTATATTTTAACGGATTATTTTATCTCATGTCGCAGAGTTTGGCAGCCATCACGGGTGGGAAGCAGGAAAGTGTCAAATGGGACGTCGAAGAAAGTTTAAATTAAATTTGTCAATATTTTGGTCGATGCGAAAAATCGGAGTGTGACCAGGGAACCTCCTCACTTGCTTAAGACGGAGCGCAACTCAGACATTTGGCAGGCGCTGCAATAATTCGATTGGTTTTCTTTGAAAAATTCACCTTTTACTGGAAGAAACTCAAATATCTTCATGGAGATTGAATATATTTGATTGATTGATTCTTTTCAAATTTACTGGTACAGATGACACAGAAATTTACTAATACTAACTCTTAATGATACCATCAGTCACGCTGGCGTTAAATGATACCGGAAATAAGCGTGCGCGGAAACAGAGATGCACTCTTGGTCTGCAAACACCCCACCAAGTTTGCACTTAACATAAGTGCGTTACAGGGCTACGAGCAGAAAGTGTGTCACTATTTAAAAAACATGACTCATATATTTTTCTGAGCGTGTATAATTCGTTCCTGGAAAACACAAGGGTCTGCTTGCCGTCCAACATCGTTCTGTGCCCAGCATTATTTTTCTGAGTGTACATAATTGGTACCTGGAAGACACAAGGGTCAGCTTGCCGTCCGACATCGTTCTGTGCCCAGCACAGCAGAGTGCCGAACTCGTGCGAGGTGTGAGGCGTGTATGTGAGCAGGTTGCTGGAGCTGCCGTAGCTTGCGGTGCTCGTACGGCTCCTGTTAGGCGCCCTGGTCTGGTGGTGACGCCGCAGTGAGTCGTCTGCAGGCTGCGACTGCGATAAAATAGGTAAATAATAATAAAATACTAAGTCAATATAAATATACGATAAATTAAATCTAAAAATCCGATAAATAAAATCTAAAAATCCGATAAAAAAATCTAAAAATTCAATAAATAAAATCTAAAAATTCGATGAATAAAATCTCAAAATCTGACAAATGAAATCTTGGTTCCAATTCGTTTCCTGCTGATTGTGATTGCGGGGAAAAAAGGGAAAAGATTCGCTGTCGGAGAATATGATGACAGTTGGTGCTAATTTTATGTATTTTGAACATGAATCGGAAAGAATAAAAAATTGAATCGTTGCTTTTTTCCTTGGTCGATCCAAGAGGAAAAGAATGAATGGGCTCAGGGTGAGGAGTGTTCAATTTCTGTGATCTAGGAAATGAGAATTACTACCACACGCAGAGCAACTTATTGTTTTGCTGCGTCCAGTCTAACACTGAACAGGATTTATCAAACATAGATGTAAAATTCATGAATTGCTGCTACGATGTCCTCAACTTTTTTACTGTTTGAAACTGGATTGCGCTGAACATTTTCATGCATTTCTTAGGCAGATGCATCTATTTTTTTAATACTGATATAGTCTGGCTAAAGTTGTAATCTAATATAAATTCGATTGAAGACCAGAGAATCTTTTTTATTTTTTGGACCTCTTTTTTATTTTCATGATGGAAAGCAAATTCGATAAGAGACCTGCTCCTGCGAGGTGGCGTTGAGAGACCAGGTGAACGTGTGGGGCTTGGGATGAGCGTCGACAGAACAAGTGATGTTGACAGCCACACCGACTCCGGTGCCATAGATCTTCGGTGCCGCGGTGTCACCATCACTTGCGTCCAAATCAATAGCGTCGGTGTCACTAGAGTCGCTAGTGTCGCTCCTAATGGAGTTTGTGTTATCCTTGGCGCTGGAAATGAGGCCTCGAGCGTCGACAGCGTCCGGGCTCAATTCCAGGGAAGCAAGGTTTTCCTCAGCCACAGAGTTCCCTCGGCACACCGGAGTGACTACGGTGAAAAGAAAGACAAATATGCAAATATTATGAACTGCTGCAACGATGTTCTCCTCTTTGTTACCTCGTAAAGCTTGACGGCACTGAAAAATGTCGTGCATTTCATTAGTCCATGCATCATTTTTAGGGTCCGGGCTGACATGCAGTGAAGCAAGATTTTCCGCTGCCACTGAGGTGTCCCTTGACACACAACAGTGACTACGATGGAAATAAAAACTTCTTAGAAATTCTGTCTTCGTGATTCCAGTAGATTTTTACATACAGGGGAAATTTTTCTAGAAATAAAACGCGAAATCTTGGATCCGCTGACGTTGAGTAATATTTATAGTTTATGCTATAAAGATCTCTTAGCGTGAGTGATTGCCTCCGTCATATGACGATTGCCGATGCCAATCAATTTTCGAGACAATTTCATTTCCAAGTGACTGATATTCATAAGGATAAAAAGTTTGCGACGATAATTTGACTGCATTACGTATTTCTTACATGAAGCGAACCCGTTTTACTCAACTGTCTATTCGATCGACTAAAACTGACCATAAATTATGTGTTATAGGTGAGAAGCACAACTCTTCTTCGAAATTAAAAAAAGTGAAAGGAACTTCATCAAGTTTCTAGCCGCATCCAAGATGTCCAGCTTCGAGATTATGTCACAAGTCTTCAAAACGAGTTTAAACTTCAATATTCGATATTAAAGCTTATCGTTCGATTAGAGATCCATCCATCTTACTGACGATGATATTAGCTAACGAAATGATTTTTTTTGTGGTGAGTCCTCTTGCATTCAAATTTAAAAGCTTGAAACACGTTCAATAATAATTATCAAAATTACAAAATCCATAACTGAGCAGGTTAGCAATACAAGAATATTTGTAAATCGCATCAAATTCTTGAGTCCGATACGATTATATGGAAAATTTCGTACATATTCTTTCTGGACAATTTGAGAGAGATAATTTCGAGTTGCTCGTAATTTTTCAGATTTAGACAAGTCCTAAATGGGAACGTCAATCATTCAGGAACAAGTTTGAATGAAATGAAGCGGAAATTATAATCAAGGCCATCCGTTAAGAATTTCTTTGCAGCTGGAGGAAGAAATCGCTGGCGTATGTTGAAAGAGGAGTTATAAATTGTGAGGTTATAAAATTTAATCTGTAATTTAAATCATAACCTTTAGGTTATATCATAATCACAATGTCAGATAAGTAACGATAGGTAATAGAGGCAGCAAAAGTTATCAATGCATTTTACGCGGTTTTGTTTATGCCTTTTGAACGAGCATTTTCAACATTGTAGTATTCAGTGCACGGTCAGTTCGAGTTGGGAGAGTTTGAATTTTTTGTGCTTGATTGCTTGGCCTGTAAGTTATTTTTCTGGTAAGTTGATTATCGTATGAACAAATTTTATAATTTGGCAGGAAATGAATGAATTTATGGATCCGTATGGATATTAATGGATTTATTTCCACTTTCATTTGATAATTTGTGCCATAAATTAAATGTGAAAATTCCACATATGTTACACTTCCACGGAGATTCCGCTAGTTTCACACACATTTACACACGGCAGTTCTTCAGCTCCCTCCTTCCAGACAAAAAAAAAATCCCAGTCTAACTGAATCCTACTTGCAGCAAAATCCTAACGAGCTGTCTACAGAAGAGCAATTGTTCTTACTGCAGTCCCGCGCAGGTAAGTAAATATAATACAGAGATATACTCACTAGGAGTAAGTAATCTAAAATATTTCGTAAATATCATAATAATAATCAGAAGTTAGATGAGCTTCAGCCCAAGTAAGCAGGCTGCGCCGAACAAGAAGGCTCTCACATTATGGTGCCACTTGAGTAAAGTGACGGCAGGATTGGCCATCACATCACAGTCCAGGAACACGTCATCGTTCTCGTTGATGTTGGAGATGTTCAGCAAAGGAGAGAGACGTAACGACACTCGTGGGGAATCTAGGACGAGGAGATAAAAACTCATTTGCATGTCAGTTTCTGGAAATTTGTTTGTGATTCTGCGTAATAAAAATCGTGGAGTAAGAAGGTTTTATTAGGCTCCGTGTTTGGATAGTTCTAAATACTGAAAAATGATTGTAATGTTGTGACACAGCACTTGGACCTATCACAATGAAAAATCAAATTCCTGTTAAATAAAGTTAAATCAGAAGGATTTTTTCCATTTGTAATATCATTTTTTCACATGGAATATTCTGAGATAAATTCATTTCTTTATAATTTTTAACTGAATTATTAACTGCAAACTAATTTAATATTCATGACTCAAAACACTATAAATAGATAAAAATGGAAATCAAAAAAGATTCTTATACAAATAGAATGTATATAAAATTTTCTTGTTATATGCCAAAACCCAAATTTATACCAGGTTTATTTATAATTCATTAAATATAGTTATTTATATTTATTATTTAACATGGTACGAAAACATGCCAAGGACAAGAAAATTACAAACACGAACCCTATTAGTTAGCTCCCTTTAGAATTTATTTGCTCTTTGCAACGTTCGTTATGAAATTAATTCTAAACTCTAATCGGATTTACAGATAATGATTTTTGCCGCTAGCGAAGCTTGACATCTGATGCATTTGTACTTGAAGGGATTATGCGAGGTAATTGATTTTAATGACATCCACTGGTGCACTGAAAGACTCTCTTTCCAGCGTTAACTTTGATTTTGAATGAATTATTATATTTTATGGAAGAGCTGTCATAAACTAATGGAAGAGCAGGATTTTATGGAAAAGCCGTCTCCGTAAATATTTTTTTCATAGTAGTTTCACGAATTTAAGCAAAACCTGTATCATGAAGATGCGAAATATTAGTATCATTACATAATAGAACAGTGACATCAAGCGAGTCTGTTGTATTTGCCTCTGAATAGCTGAATAGCTTGCAGTTCAAATTAAAAAATAATTCGAAAATGACATTTTTTTGCAGTTGCTGTTTAAATACATGTTGAATTTGTGCCTAAGTATTTTTACGAAGTCCTGTAATATTGGAATTAGAGCACGAAAATTTTTAAATATCAAATGGGGTAAGTAAATTTGTTCTATTTTTTAATAAGTAAAGTAAACTTTTCTGTTAGAAGTGACTCTAAGAAAATCCGTACTCATTATAAAGTAATTTTGCACGTTTATTTCAGTAGCGAGTTCATTTTCTAGGATTCATCGCACCGAGTGTGCAAATATCAAACAAAAAATGAAATTTTAACTTCGTTTATTAATATAAAAGCCATGAAAACTATGAAGTCGTACGTATTTTGTTCGTAAATGTTGAACGCATGATGAAGATGAATTCTTATGTAATTCATTCATAGATATTGCATGAAATGATATCGAATTCAATCCATTTACAAATATTTTAACTCACGAAGGAGAAGAAGCGAACCTTTTGTTTCTCTCATTATGTCCAGGATTAGAAAAATTAATGGAATCAAAGGATCCTTTTGTCTAAACAGAAACACGCTTCTTGCACGTATAAAGGATACTCATTTATTCATGGTCAAACTTGATCAGGATTACCCACGCAAGGACCTAAAAAGCAAGCATACAGCATAGCCATATGGATGACTTTATCTACCTAATATGCATGTTTCGCTGCACATGGACAAAGTGCTATGTATCGTTTGTCTATGTATCGCTTGTCTATGTATCGCTTGTCTATGTATCGCTTGTCTATGTATCGCTTGTCTATGCATCGCTTGTCTATGTATCGCTTGTCTATGTATCGCTTGTCTATGTATCGCTTGTCTATGTATCGCTTGTCTATGCATCGCTTGTCTATGTATCGCNGGACTCACAAAGGACGGTAATACGGACGCTATCCTCGCAGGACTCACAAAGGACGGTAATACGGACGCTATCCTCGCAGGACTCACAAAGGACGGTAATACGGACGCTATCCTCGCAGGACTCACAAAGGACGGTAATACGGACGCTATCCTCGCAGGACTCACAAAGGACGGTAATACGGACGCTATCCTCGCAGGACTCACAAAGGACGGTAATACGGACGCTATCCTCGCAGGACTCACAAAGGACGGTAATACGGACGCTATCCTCGCAGGACTCACAAAGGACGGTAATACGGACGCTATCCTCGCAGGACTCACAAAGGACGGTAATACGGACGCTATCCTCGCAGGACTCACAAAGGACGGTAATACGGACGCTATCCTCGCAGGACTCACAAAGGACGGTAATACGGACGCTATCCTCGCAGGACTCACAAAGGACGGTAATACGGACGCTATCCTCGCAGGACTCACAAAGGACGGTAATACGGACGCTATCCTCGCAGGACTCACAAAGGACGGTAATACGGACGCTATCCTCGCAGGACTCACAAAGGACGGTAATACGGACGCTATCCTCGCAGGACTCACAAAGGACGGTAATACGGACGCTATCCTCGCAGGACTCACAAAGGACGGTAATACGGACGCTATCCTCGCAGGACTCACAAAGGACGGTAATACGGACGCTATCCTCGCAGGACTCACAAAGGACGGTAATACGGACGCTATCCTCGCAGGACTCACAAAGGACGGTAATACGGACGCTATCCTCGAGGGCGAAGGCAGGTCCTAGCAGGGCGTTGGTGGCGCGGCAGGACACGCGCAGGCCGTCGTCGGCGGCGGAGGGCTGGAGGTGTAGGATGCTTGTGCTCGAGGTGCTGTCCGGGGACTCCTGAGGTGCCCAGGATATCAACAACATCAATAACTGATGAAAACATATCCTATTATAAGAGTATATTATAATAATAAAATAATATTAGGAGGGCTGGGGGTGTAGGATGCTTGTGCTCGAGGTGTTGTCCGGGGACTCCTGAGGTGCCCAGGATATCAACAACATCAATAACTGATGAAAACATATCATATTATAAGAGTATATTATAATAATAAAATAATATCATAATAATTTGAATGGGGAGCCAATTATATAAAGAAAATTATTTATGACTAAAACTTGAATACCTGTAAAACCAGGGATAATTATTTAAATGGGGTGCCTGGTGAAACAAATACATCAGTAATTGATGAAGCTATAAACCTGTTAATTAATTCCTGATCCTTTCTAGCTGAATAATGTTTGGAAGTGTGAAGGGAGTGAGCGAGGAAAATATCTTCAAGTTAAAAACTCGTTTCAGTTGCTCTGGATTGATTTTAAAACGCCCTTGTAGACCACATAAAACGACACAACTGATTTTCATAATTCAAATCCCAACAGGAGAAATAAATACCTGACTTTTTATCAGCGTAAATGGCAAATTTGGAACTTGCATTACCTGATACACCGAAAACGTGCCTTCCTTGCCATGGTGAAGGACCAGCGAACACCGACCACCTCGCTAGACCACAGACAGCCGTCTACTGACTACTGAGTCTGAGAGTCTGAGAGTCTGAGAGTCTGAGAGTCTGAGTGTCTGAGAGACTAGGAGTCTGAGAATCTGAGAGTCTGAGAGTCTGAGAGTCTGAGAGTCTGAGAGTCTGAGAGTCTGAGAGTCTGAGAGTCTGAGAGTCTGAGAGTCTGAGAGTCTGAGAGTCTGAGAGTCTGAGAGTCTGAGAGTCTGAGAGTCTGAGAGTCTGAGAGTCTGAGAGTCTGAGAGTCTGAGAGTCTGAGAGTCTGAGAGTCTGAGAGTCTGAGAGTCTGAGAGTCTGAGAGTCTGAGAGTCTGAGAGTCTGAGAGTCTGAGAGTCTGAGAGTCTGAGAGTCTGAGAGTCTGAGAGTCTGAGAGTCTGAGAGTCTGAGAGTCTGAGAGTCTGAGAGTCTGAGAGTCTGAGAGTCTGAGAGTCTGAGAGTCTGAGAGTCTGAGAGTCTGAGAGTCTGAGAGTCTGAGAGTCTGAGAGTCTGAGAGTCTGAGAGTCTGAGAGTCTGAGAGTCTGAGAGTCTGAGAGTCTGAGAGTCTGAGAGTCTGAGAGTCTGAGAGTCTGAGAGTCTGAGAGTCTGAGAGTCTGAGAGTCTGAGAGTCTGAGAGTCTGAGAGTCTGAGAGTCTGAGAGTCTGAGAGTCTGAGAGTCTGAGAGTCTGAGAGTCTGAGAGTCTGAGAGTCTGAGAGTCTGAGAGTCTGAGAGTCTGAGAGTCTGAGAGTCTGAGAGTCTGAGAGTCTGAGAGTCTGAGAGTCTGAGAGTCTGAGAGTCTGAGAGTCTGAGAGTCTGAGAGTCTGAGAGTCTGAGAGTCTGAGAGTCTGAGAGTCTGAGAGTCTNTAACCCACCATACCTGGTACGTCAGATAACCCACCATACCTGGTACGTCAGATAACCCACCATACCTGGTACGTCAGATGCGTAACCCACCATACCTGGTACGTCAGATAACCCACCATACCTGGTACGTCAGATGCGTAAGTTGCTGCGTACGCGCCCACCACGTGAGCACGGCCGGGGGGTTCGAACCCTCGCTGCTGCAGGTGAGCTTGTGGAGGCGGCCCTCCCGCACCCCCTCCTGGCTGCCCGTGATGCGCACGCTCACGGGAGGCACTGACGCGGGCAGGCGAAATAACATCTTTATATATTATTATTATTATTGTTATTATCATTATTATTATTAATATTATTATTATTATTGTTATTATCATTATTATTATTATTATTATTATTATTATTATTATCATTATTATTATATTTATCATAATTATTATTCTCACGTTTCATGTCGATGGTGACCGAGGCCTGTAGAGGCTTCGTTAAGTTGGTGTTGGATGCACGACAAGTCAAGGACTTGCCGAGGTGGTGGCGGGACAGCCCCGTCACTGTCAAGTTATTGGTGGTCACGTCGTCTCGTTGGTCCTCACTCAGGTCGTCCAGCAATTCTCCGTCAAACCACCAAGAAACGCTGGGCTGGGGGTTCCCTACAGCACAAATATTAGGTTTTTTTATTATTCAAGGCTCTCTACATTCTACCTATTGGCTAAAACAGGTTTTCGAGCCTTTCACTCCTGAATTATTCATAATGGCAAGACAATGTATTGAGAATGAGAGTATGAGGTAGTGAAATTGTATCTTTACACAACAGCAACTGAATTTTTGTACATTATTATTGCCATTTTTTAGTTAGTTAATGATTTTTTAATAATCATAAACTTTTCTTCGGAGTAAATTCGGAAACCGAAATAATTTCCATTTAACAAACCTAATTTCTCGTAACAAATTTTTTTCGACTAGGAAAAACAAATTCAATTTGTGCTCACCCCCCGCGGCGCTGCACCACAAGTTCAGGACGTCACCGACGGCGTACGGTCCAACTCGTCCGGTGACGCGCAGGCCGTTCACGCCGCGGATGTCCAGGCTCGACGGCGGCACTGCAACACAAAACTCATGTCATTCTCTTATGGAGTTTGCAACAGTTCTAAACTTGTTAGGAACCCTCTGTGGTGAATCGTGGGATGAGTAAAAACCCAGAGCCTCGAGTTTGTTTTCAACCAGTTTTTGTTGATTGCGCGGAAATGAATTTTCCGTGTACTGTAGCATTCATAGCATATTTTCCGCATTGATATATCGATTTTTTCCAATTCAATGAATTGTTAGAACGCTGTTTGTGCATTCAACATGTGAAAAAGTTTATGATTTATGACTCATATTAAAATTTGTTCCTTGCAGGTTTCCCTCCAATGTTTTCTGCATTAAAATAATGTTACTTCAATTGCAAAATTTTTCCGACGCTCAAAACTAAAAAAATTTTATGCGCTTGGATTCATATGAAGTTCTGAGAATTTTTCACTTATATCTAAAAGTATAGTCAAATTTCGCTCGACTCATCAATCGAAATGAAATATAGCTTAAAAATAATTCACAATTTTAATGACACTATGAAATTAATTCAATTGCCGAGTCGTTACTCGGCAATTGAAGTAATTAATTACAATTTAGAATAAATTTTGCTTTAATTTGTTTCAACTTGAAAAAAAAAATCTCATATTATTTCCAGTTTCTGTGAGACTTACCAATGACTGTCAGTTTTTTTTCAGGGTCTCACTTTATTTCAATTTTCAGGAAAATTCTCAGATTATTTAAAAATTAACCGAGACTCACCAATGACTCTGTTTTTCAGATTTATTTCAATTTATAAGAAAATGCTCAAATCATTTCAAAAAAACTACTGAGACTCACCAATGACTCAGTTTTTTTTTAGACTTACTTCAATTTATAAGAAAATGCTCAAATCATTTCAAAAAAAATTACCGAGACTCACCAATGACTCAGTTTTTTTTTATTTATTTCAATTTATAAGAAAATGCTCATGTAATTTCAAAAAATTTACCGAGACTCTCCAAGGACTCTGTTTTTCACATTTATTTCAATTTATAAGAAAATTCTCAAATCATTTCAAAAAAATTACCGAGACTCACCAATGACTCAGCTTTTTTTTATTTATTTCAATTGAAAAGAAAATGCTCAATTTAAAAAAATTTACCGATTTTTTCAACTTATAAGAAAATGTTAAACTCATTTCAAAAAATTTACCGAGACTCACCAATAACTGTCAGCTTGGCCTGAGACAACATCGTGGGCGCCTGTCTGAAGTCCACTCGGCAGTGAAATTTCCCTCCGTCTGTACGGAGCAGCTGGCGGATCACGAGGATCCCGTAGGCGGTATCAGGTGGCTTTTCCGATGGATCCTCCGCATCTCTCGCAGCCTGACTGCTGCGGATTGTTCTGCCGTTCAACCGAGATTTAAAGCCCGTGTCATCGAGGATATCTCTCCAGTAATTGAGTTTCAAGTGAGAATGGCTCCAGTGAATATTGCTCTCCGGAACGACGACTTCTCGATAGACTTCGGGAATTTCTAAAGTCGAGTTCGAATGATCAAAAAGTGGTGAAAGCGATTCATCCTTGGATGCAGTGGAGTGAGAGGACTGGAATTTTTCATCCAAAACGTCTTTGCTTCGTGTTGAATAATTCTTCTTTGATGGATCGGATTTTATTTTCTCTGGAGTTTTTTCCGGTAGAAGATCCTCTCTGGAGAGAGCCAGTAGTTGATTTTGCAGGGAGCTTTCCTTGACGTAACTTGATTTGCTAGACGCGTCTGACACATGATCAGCTTCCTGCCACTTATTTGAATGAAAAGAGACAGTGGAAGTGAGGCGTTCTTCAAATCCTGTGCGATTTTTAGGATTTTGCAAAAATGCTAACGACCTCATTTTGATATTACTTTTGTTTTCCTTCTGACTATACTCCATATTTGTTGATTGTAAATCTTGAAAACTACGCACAGTTTGTGGCCACTGATCGTATTCTTTCAGTGCGACATTATTTTTGGCTAGAGAATTTGTGTTGTATTTACTATTGTGCTCGGCATGTCTTGCCACTTTGGCAGCCTTGCCTCTCTGAAGTCGAATATTGTACAAATCTCGTTCTACGCTGTCGTCTCCAGTCGAAAAACGTTGCAATGAATTTTGGTAAGAATATTCGGAACTAAGAGGAACACTTTGATAATTTGAGAAATTAGAATTATACACAGGGCTACTTGCTGGGAAAATAGGGATTTTAGAATTGTACTTAACGGGATACTGGCTTAACGAATGACCTAATAACGGAAAATTGGTGGGCAGTAGAAACTGAACTCTGTCGCCTAGCACCTCTCTGTTGACCCAGTGAATGGACGACGATGCTGCTCCGCCTCGGGCATCCACACTGCAAATTAGATACGAGAAAATCGAGAGTTAAGGTAATCTCGGATATTTTGCGGTGACGACGGGATTCTACTGATAAAGTAACACGCTATCAAGTTCGCCAGCGATCGATTATCCCTATAATTTAAGGCCCGTTATTCCGAATTCCGTCATTTCTATTCTTTTCAAAAATAATAATAACATAACATATATATATGATGATTGGAAAGATTCCCTTTCAAACTTATATTTTACATGGTATATAGAACTTCCACATAACTCACGATTAAAAAATTTTATGAAATCGTTTCTCATTTTTTTTGTATAAGTTCACACGCACACATATTGATATACTATATATGTGTTATATTTAATATACATATTATACATATATGTATGATAATAATATTAAATTGTTCAATATTATATATTTATAAATGTATAAATAAAAAAATGTAATATATTATACATTTATAACACAAGAGATACATCTCAGGTCATTCACCGCTGGAAGTTGGTGGTCAGTTGACAAACATCACATTCCGCACTTAGGGTCCGTGCGCATTTAATTGGGTGAATTTGTTAAGCCGCTAAATAACGGCTGGGTTTACATGCTTTATCGGTTTCATTTAGCTTCTCATTCATGCAATTGTTGAAAAGGAGGTTTACGTTAATTTCTCTGCCGTAATCCTGCTTCCTTCCCAAAATAGGTAAAAAAATTTTTTTACAGCAAGAATTAATGCTCAAAAAAAAAGTAAAAATTCGTTTTATATTAAAAGTGACTTATTACTATTGTGAAGATTAACGAATATTTTTTGGGGAAAATAAGATTTAGATAACAAAATTTGTAATTAAGTTTTTATAATAATAGGAGAACATATGCTTAGGAAATTATTTAAGCATTCTTGATTCTCTTTCTTGAATTATAAACTTACCGGAACCGTTGATTGATCTAAAAAAATTTCAAGCATATTCGCCAATAATGCACCAATTCATTTTATTAGTGGTTCTACTTGAAACGAATATCATTCGATAAAGCGCCTCCAAAAAGCCATGAATTTATTCAGAATTGCCTGCATCAATTACTTAGACATATTAATAATAAAAATTAGACACGAATTACCTCTAATGACACTGATCGCTTCAGGTAGAAGCAAGCTTCTGGGATGAATTATCTAAATTATTGGTGGATCAATTAACCTTTGTTCATAACTTTGGTTATGAACAATGTTTATAACATAATGACGATAAATAAAATGACGATATAATGAAATGTCGCTCACGTACATTAAATTTCTGCTAAGTAATCATAGGCATCGGTTTTGCTAATCATTTCCAACGTGCAAATTTAATAATGATTCTCTGTACACACGTCAGGTTCATCGACCACACGCGCGCTTAATATTATAGCGAGCGATGCACTGACGTCACGAGACATACCTGACGTCACGAGACACACCTGACGTCACGAGACACACCTGACGTCACGAGACACTCCTGACGTCACGAGACACTCCTGACGTCATGAAACACATTGACGTCACGAGACACACCTGACGTCACGAGACACACCTGACGTCACGAGACACTCCTGACGTCACGAGACACACCTGACGTCACGAGACACACCAGACGTCATGAGACACTCCTGACGTCACGAGACACTCCTGACGGCCATGCCATCTAACAGCTATGCCATCAAACAGCTAAGCCATCCTTACGATTTAGGTAATTTTGGAAAAGGCATGACTATGCCATGAAACATTTATGCCACGCGTAAAATTACAATAATTTGTGGGCCGATTATAAAATGTACTCTTCGGGCAGAAAAATATTATAATTTATCTTGTCGAGAAAATTAAATAACAGTATATCTTGAAGATGGTGTCTTGTTTAAATGAGTTTTGTACAAGAAAAAACAGATTTTATCATTATTACGCTATGTCATATGATATTAATATAGTATATAAAATATCTTACATTGTTCCCTCTTTCCTTCACACTAAAATTACAATAAAAAACCTGCTGCCGCAAAATATTTTCCGCACAAATTACACTCAGACCTCATATAAATATAAAATGAAAATCTTGTTAGGCATGAATAAATTTCGAGAAGGTTTATTTGCGATTTAATTCTGTCTTCCTTTAATCTATGTATGAAAGTGCATCCACTGGAATTGTGTTGATTTAAGTATATACGCTGAGCGTAATTGAAGAACATTTTTACCACATGATATTGAAAATGTCATCATGGCGACATAATTGTCATTTCTCTGGTAATTTGTTGAGGCCTAAAAAATGACAAAGTTTTCTGCCGTTCACTAAAATGGCCAAACATCCGTCTTAGGAACCAACCTCATCGATTTATCTGATATCAATAATCAGTTTCTGATGATTCCATCAGAGTTTCTCCGTCGTTGCTTTTAAAACTCTTGCTATAAAACATTTCGCTGGTAAGTCTGGCTGGTCTGACATATTATGCCACATTAGTTTTGCAATGCTATGCTAGCCGTCACACATTACGAGGTCTCGTTTGTAAATTCGGGGTATGACTGAAAAATCGTTCTATTATGTCAACTTTGCAGTTATATTGACATATTTTCCCTGTAAAATTGAAAGTAATTTATGAATAAATTTTTTAAATGATGCTCGTGTAAGAAAAATTTCACATTCAACATATTAATAGGTATGAAAATGTCCCAACTGAGCGTGTTCATTCAACTAGCTTTTGATGATCGATATTCGATACTAAATTTATTGCGAATCCCACGCATGTTATTAACTTCTTTGTTCTTATGGTAATATTTGATTGGTGATTCGTCTCTCGAGCTCCAGCACTGAATATAGATCAGACCTCGCGCGATACATCATCATAGAAATTGCTGCTAAAAATGCTAATGTAGGGAGCTAAGAAAAATTGCTTGCAGAACATTGCGTTACAAGAAGCATATGTATCTGCGATTGAAGAACTCGCATATAATTGAATTTAATCAAAGAAAATGGCTCTCGTCCTTAAAATCTAGTCATATTGTGGGGACACCAGATTAATAAATCACTACTTGAACATTTTTTTCTTGTAAAGGTAAGGATTACAACATTTACTTGTTCTGTGCATGGCAATGAACTGTTATTTTCAGTACACTTAAAATATGTCATGGTTTTTCATAAAGCTGACATATGTAATCAAGGACCAGCCTGCATGTAGGAGCAGATTGCATGCTTTGAGACGCAGAAATCACATTTGGTCGATTATTGAATGTAGTTGGTGACGTCATGACTGTGGGGTGGCGTGAATCCATCATTTGTCTTCAAAGCGATGATATTTATCGGTACTTTGCGAATATTTATGGTTGCGTTGGTAATAAAATATTTGAAAAGTGGTTTTAAAGTGCTAGGCCATCAGGCAGGAAGACATGAGATTGCTTCTCAGCAATTTTTATCCTGTTATATTTATAGCCACAACCTCGTGATTTATTTATTCGTAAATCTTCGAATTACCTGTTCGGTCGTCTTTAGTCAATTAATTATAGCATTCATTCAATTCACAATTTGTTATAAATAGTTAACATTAACTGAAAATTACATTGTAAAATCATAGATGGGTAAAAATCACCATGTTGCTAACTAAATCAAATTGGTGCAATATATTTATCAATAAGTAAAAGACTGAACTTGCACAGACTTGTACAATAGATTAGCTCCCCACTTTATGAGAATGAGGCTAGGCGTGTCTATTGATAAACACTATAGTGATATCAGCTAAATTAAATACGAATAAATGTTATTAGGCAGTACAATATATTATACAAAAATATATTATTAAAATATATCATATATAATATATTATATATTATAAGAAAATATCTTAATAGGAAGTATATATAATATATTTATTAGGAAGTATAAAGTTAACAGACCTGTAGAGTGGAGTTGCACCTCTCGAGATGAGGATGAGGTTTGGGGTGTCGTGTGGCCGGGGAGGCGTCAGATCGCAGGGGATTTTGGCCTCTCCGCCCTCAATCCCGAACACGTTCAAGACAGGCACTGTGGGACACAAGGAACAGCCTTAATGTTCCTTACCGAACACGTTCAATACAGGCACTGTGGGAACACAAGGAACAGCCTTAATGTTCCTTACCGAACACGTTCAAGACCGGCACTGTGGGACACAAGGAACAGCCTTAATGTTCGTTACCGAACACGTTCAAGACCGGCACTGTGGGACACAAGGAACAGCCTTAATGTTCGTTACCGAACACTTTGAGTGTTGGTGCTCTGAGAACACATGGAACAGCTTCTAAGTTTTATACAGAACACTTTGAGATTTTGTGCTGCGATAACACATGGAACAGCCTAAAAGTTTCATAGCGAACATGTTGACAGTAGGTGCTACGAGAACACAAAATGAAGAACCTTAATATTATATTCAGTACATGCTGAGAATAGGTGCTGAGAGAACAGATATGAAACAGCTTCTATTTAGTTAAAATTAGAAATGATTGCATTTTAATTAAATATCTTTATTTAAGAATATATGAGGTGAGTTTGCAAGAGCATGTAAAAATTAACAATTTTCAGGGTTCATGTAAAAATAGTTTCTAATATCATTTGTTGCTTGTTTGGCAAATATGATACTGCATTGCTGCAAACGGTGGAGCGGGAAGTGAAATTTGGAAAAAAATTTTGGATTGAAATTTATCTGATCACTAACATTCAAAAGCATGATTTATTGTCCCGTTTATCGCGCGACTAATTTTCTTTCTCATTTACATTCCAAAGCCTGATTTACAGTCACATCTGTCGCGTGACTAATTTTCTTTATCATTTACATTCCAAAGCCTAATTTACAGTCACATCAATCGCGCGACTAATTTTCTTTCTCATTTACATTCCAAAGCCTAATTTACAGTCACATCAATCGCGCGACTAATTTTCTTTCTCATTTACATTCCAAAGCCTGATTTACAGTCACATCAATCGCGCGACTAATTTTCTTTCTCATTTACATTCCAAAGCCTGATTTACAGTCACGTTTATCGCGCGACTAATTTTCATTCTCATTTACATTCCAAAGCCTGATTTACAGTCACATCTATCGCGCGACTAATTTTCATTCTCATTTACATTACAAAGCCAGATTTACAGTCACATCTATCGCGTGACTCCCGAAAATAGGCTTCATGCTAATAAATTTTTTCAATAAAATCTGGAATAATCATACTCTGAATGATATGGATACCGCTGAAGCATTTCAATCAATAACTCGATTTGTTGCAATGCATAATTGCGATGAAATAATTGAAATAATTGAAATAATAAATAATAAACACTCCATCGCATAATTGGCGTCTCCTAGGCTTGATCCTTCAAGGCTTATCCTTCCTAATGACCACAGCCATTATTCAGACCGAGTTTAATGTAATACGATATGGAACTTTATTTCGGTTCGTTTTCCTAATGAACGTTGAACGTCTTTATTCATTAATGAACCTAGTATTCGGTTGCAATTATTAATATGCGAATTTTTACCGATTGCATTTATAAATGATTTAAGTTAAACTATAGAGCGCGAGCAGGAATTCTTTTTTCTAATAAATTAATCCTCGATTTAAGATGTTTAATGAAATAAATTATCCGTGAATGCAATTTCATTCAAGCAAATTTAATTCTGACATCCTTGACATAACTGAATGAGATGCAACTTGCTGTTGCATTCCTCTGAGCAAGAGGAGAACTAAATTGCACTCAATTAATTTTACGACTGTTAATTGAATTCCTTTGCCGTCCGACGTAGACGCGCTGAAATGCTGATGCAGATCCGCCTTACGATGCGAGATTCAGTCGCTCCTGAACACCATCGCTGGGGCGGTATTTGCTTAGGGTCAGCGGCTTAGACGTGTTCAACGACACAGCTTAGCTGAACATTCAAGTTTTGGGCTCGAAATTTTGCAACAATCACCGGTTAGTTAACCTAAAAAAATTAATGGATGACACGGCTTAGCTGAACATTCAAGTTCTGGGCTCAAAATGTAGCAACAATAACCGGTTAGTTAACCTAAAATACCCCAATTTGTAATGGCCAGAGAATTCATTGATTTAAATGAAGTCTCCACCGGAGACACGCTCATAACCAGATCAAGTTACACACTATTATAATCGAGGAACTTCATCTCAAAATCTGAACAGATGTTACCGAAAAATCTTTTTATAACGAGAAAGATTAAGCGGCCAAAGAGGATCGCTTTTTCGGTCAAATTGCTGCTGTGCATGACAGGCGCTGCAGTCCACTACAACGCATTCCCTCCCTTCCGTGCTTTGCATTTCACACAAAGTAAACTAATATAACCTATCATTAATGATAGAACGTTTATCCGTTATTGATTTAAAATTTCGGTAAGGGTGCAGTTCAATCTAACTAATTTTAATTTATACATTTATATTTTTTCATTATTATTCTTATATCATTTTATAACTACCCTAATAACGAGTTCTGTAGTTTGCCTATTTGTTGGCATGGGTGAAATATTCGCACGAGGTTCATTTTTTAATATTGTTAGAGAAGTTTTATTTATTTGAGCCTCCTGTTCATGAATTGTTATTTTCCTGTACGAAATACTGTGACTAAAGTTTTTTACACTGATCACAGAAACTTTGTAGACAAAATATTTATATTCGATCGAATATTTATATCCGAGATACATTTATATTTTTCATAAATCGATCAATATTTGTGATTTATCTATATATTGTGAAGCTCATGCAAGTACGACTTGATTATTTGCCAAAACTTCTGGCCATAAAAGTCAAACACGTGCCATGGAAGTTAAACTTTTGATAAAACGATGCCTTAATTTCATTTAATTCTCTGCGAAATGCAGATCATTGTCCCAAACAACCCCATAATCAAATTATAACAGAAACATTAATTTTAGTTCGTGTTCTGTCCGCTGATTTGGGACGTTATTCCGATCCAATTTCCTGGATATACAGGGTCCTTAAAAAAACTCCCTGATTTCAATAAGCTTTTGCAAAAATCATACAACACATACAGAAAAATTATTTTTATTTGTGAATAGCTTATTTAATGCCATTTTACATCACATAGTACACTTTACTTGTACGTGGCTGCCACTTCCTGCCTTTTAGTGCTGACCCTGTTTGTCTAAAGTTGGACACCCACAGTCTAATCGTTTTCGCATCAGGAACACTCTCATATCGGCCACTATGGGCAACTTCTGTGAAAGACTTCGTGAATGTCTTAACAATGGGGGACATCATTTGTCGAACATAATTTTCAAAACCAAGTAAAGTGTACTATGTGATGTAAAATGGCATTAAATAAGCTATTCACAAATAAAAATAATTTTTCTGTATGTGTTGTATGATTTTTGCAAAAACTTATTAAAATCAGGGAGTTTTTTTTAAGGACCCTGTATAAGCCTCCTTGGGACAGTGATATTTAAGAATTAGTCTGCCTCCATGAGCGGCATTTAAACAGACTCAAAAATATGTGGCAAATGATCGCAAATTGGGCTATGTATGAATTTTATTTCCAAATAGAACCGAGGCAATTTTTATATATTGTAGATGAAGTTAAGATTAAACCAGCATTACTTATCCTGTGTGCGCTGCACCTGCTATATAATTTTTTTTCAAACTGCATGACCGGCCTAATATTGTCTGATTAGAGATTTGTTATCGACTGAATCTACAATACATTTTATCTAGCCAGAATTTTTGAGCTGTGAATGTTCATAATCCCTATCAAATACGGCTAAATAAATAACTACTAATAATGACAAATTCCATTGAATATTTCAAAAATTTTCAAATCTGATGCATAAAATTTGGAGTGAAGTAAGATTTTCTACATCGTAGGAAATGTGTGAGCAAATCCTCAGAGACTACTTTAAATATCAATCATTTCTTTAAAATATCAATATCAATCAATTTCATAGAAAGTTAAGTCTAATTAAGATAAAATTACGTTCATTTATTTGATAACTATTAAATTAAAATTCTCTGAACGTTTGATTCTTAATTTTTATCAATTGTTTGTGTTGGAGGAACCTACGAATTTTAATAGCTTTTCCTCGAAAATAAAAAAATCTTACTCCTTCTGCATTTTTTATCGTAATCATTTAAATAGAAAGGTAGTGTGAACTGAATTTATATTAGCAAATTTTCAGGCAAAATTTAAATTCAATCTAATGCTTAAATAATAATAATTCAATCTATTAGTTTCATATCAATAGTAAGCATATTTTTATATTTTACCCGCAATAAAATAGCCCCAAGTTCCAAGTTCCTATCGTATTTTATAAATCGATTAGTTGAATTATTAACGGTGGAGATCAATGGACAGGCGCGCAGTGTTAGGGCAGCTGCGCCCGCATGGCGAGTGCGGGGTACGTCAAGCCGTTCATTTGCATCGATGGCTTTACCGCCACGAGGCACCAGGCGTACAATGTTTTATTTGTCAAGCCAATATTCCAAGTAATCATTATAACAGCAAGATTATATTACCATTAATGTTATCATCAGTACTACGGCAAGCCTTTATTTGCATTGATGGCTTTACCGCCTCGAGGCTCCAGGTGTACAATGTTTTATTTGTCAAGCCAATTTTCCTGGATATTCATTATAACAGCAAGATTATATTACCAGAAATATTATCATCAGAATGTGGCCTCGTGGCGAGTGAGACGTACGTCAAGCCATTCATTTGCATCGATAGCTTTCCCGTCACGAGGCACCAGGCATACAATGTTTTATTTGTCAAGCCAATATTCCAGGATACATTATAACAGTAGGATTATTACCAGTAATATTATCATTATCAGTAGTATTATTATAATGGTTAGGGCTTTTAGAAGGGTGATATTACTTGTAGCATTTTTACCAGTAGTAATTTATCAAGCACTATAATATTCAACGATATTTCTACCCTGATTCATGAGTATCATCCAGCAGAATATAGGAAACCATGTGCCCGCCCTTCGATCTTGCTTTACAAAATACAATAACTAAATTATGAAGTTATGATTTTGTAACCTTCAGAAAATTTACCTCCGCTATAATGTTGTTTTTGTGCTATTTATCTTAAACTAAAAAAATCCTTCAGGTTAAACTCATCAAGCCTTGAAAAGTTGGTTGCAAACCTCGTCTGCGTTTCTGTTGATTGCAATTAAATGACATTGTAGGAAAACAATTTAGTTTGAAATGATTGTACATATTTATGCGCCACGTATTCAGTTTATCAATAGAGCTTGATTTAAAGCGTCTTGTTTATTTATGATCACAAGCGCTATGTTCAAAACAAATTTGTGCAGAATAATTTTTATTTAACTTATTTTATTCTTCATGATTGCTAGAGTCATACTGTATTGTTCCACGATTGTTTCATTATTCTTGCGGTTGCTTTAATGGTTATACGGGTGTGGATTATCGAAAGATTGCTGACCTTTAAACTGGTTTTTATGAACTTTTTTAATCAGTCTACATTAGTTACGGCTGAGGAATAAGGAAGCCGCGGCTATTTTTTATGAATTGTGATCACCGATGCTCATGCAATGCCGGAATTTATGAAACATAATTTTAAAAAATTACGAGTACTTCTCTGTTGACGAGTATTTTACTACTGCTAAAATTTCTTCACTCTCTACCATTGCATTACATATAATTAAATGAACAATTGCCATAGATTATATCCTTTTCATTTGTATCTCAGAATCCGTCAATTTCGCTATACTTATATTCTTCGTCTCATGCCCCAAAGAAAAGGCTACGGTTGCAATGAAAAATTCACATAATTAAACGAAAGCCATTCATTTATTGGCAAAATAACTGGCAACCGAGAAACTACAGTAGAACTGATTGCTCTAAATTTTACAATTTAACTGAAAGTCAAAAATTTTATGAAATGACTGACAGCCGTAAATTTTAAAATAGGACTGATAGCTAAATTCTACAATTTAACTGACAGCCATAAATTTTGTGGTAGGACTGACAGCTAAATATTGCAATTTAACTGACAGCCGTAAATTTCATAGTAGAATTGCCAGCTCTAAATTTTACAATTTAACTAACAGCCGTAAATTTTATAGCAGGACTGACTGCTCTAAATTTTAGACAGAAGCAATAGTTCCCACATTTTGGGAACTTGCAGAGCTCTGGCAATTGCGAAATTACAAAGGGTATCAAATGCTTGAACACTGAAACTTTTATGCCTGCTTATGAGACTGCCCAATGTGTTTCATTTACGGTAATTTTTAGGAAAAATGATAGTCACGTTTTTCAAAATGATGCTAGTTTCAATACCTTGCAGTCATCCCAAATTGTGCAAACTCACGGGGTATTTCCTTTGTCAAATAATTTCGTATTTAAGTAACTCCGCACTCATAAGTTCCATAGAGTACTCAATTATTTGGGACAACTAACACTTTTGCCGGGAAATAATGCCTTCGTTTACGTTCATATTAAAATCACCCTGACCACTGAAAAAAATATTCAAAAGAGATATCATCAAATACATGCAATGCTTTGCACACATAAAAATTACATAAGGATTCATTGAGTACATTTTTACGATACTCAAACAAGCCATACATATTGCAAATCTATTAGATCAACTAAATACTAATCGATTAAACGCGGTCCAGACAAACCACCCGAAATCAAATTGATGTAAAAAAGTAGAAATGGTAAAAAAATGTTGTCCCGATAATGTATTAATAATCACCCGCCTCTTAAAATCTCATTAAAACATTACAAAATGTGAAAACAAAGTAAAATTTTCATAAAATAACATCCACCACCTTAGGTCAAGCATAAAAATACTCACGTTCAGTCTCCAAGAAATGGTTCTCTGAAGTAAGCGTCCTGCTGATTTGTTCTACTGATACCGCCCCAGTCAGCAGAAAGAACATTGAAAGAAGCCGACTTAACGGCGCCGTCCAATTGTTCTGTTGTTTCCACGCTGAGCTCTTCATTTGCCGTCTTTTTTCGGATCTCAAAACAGCCAAAGGTCTCTTTTCAACCGAATCGTAACGGTCGCTTTGTTCAAACGCAGGACGCAAACAAATCTTTACTCCATCTTGGCACTCGTTTCTGAATTCGGTATGAATTTCTTTAAGAACAAAACGACGGTTTTGTCGACTATTCTGCGCGAGGCATTTTTTTCGGATGTCGCATAGCGCAGTTTGTTGATAATTTTTCAAGCACACGTAAGGTGGGTAAGAAATATTTTGAAAATCTTTTTTCGATAACATAATAAATGTTCCTGAACCATTGGAGTTCGGAATCTGTGGCTGTCGTGGCCTTGAGCTACGAGATGAGGTTAGGTTTTTTACAGCTTTATTGTTTGATGAGAGCGCGTTGCATGTTTTGTATCCAATTCTTCTTATGTCGACGTTAAGTGAAAAATCAACGTTGCTGCTACCAGGAGGTCCATTGAGCAGATTTTCTGCTTCTGGACACTTCATGCTGTCATGCACAGAATATCCCACACTTCACATAACATCCAACAGAAAGAAACGCGAATGGAGCTACCGAAGCTCATTCAGACTATGGAAATTAAAACTATTTCACTAGTTTTAATTTACGTTGGAATGACTGTTCATTGCTCCATAAGAGTTTTCAAGAATTTTTCACCACAATCACGAATGATGGCAACTATTAGTGAGAAACCTCTGCTTGCTCATCGTTTCAATATTATTAAGTAAATGACTGTTTTCTTGCTAATAATATGCTCGATGTTTCAGGGCAAGCTGATATTTACACTATAACATTTCACGCCTACGCTACAGGCCTTCTATTTGCTGCTACTGGCTCTGAAATATCATTAGATTTCTCATCATATATGAATGCTCAAAACATCAACAAATACAGAATAACTCAGACGCCAAATTCCAAAACTTTACATTCACGAACATCACTAATTAAGTAAAATATAACAATCATACTCACCATCTTATCTAATCAGTCATAATTTACATTATTTAACTTCAACAATGACGCAATCTCTAATAAATGTTCTCGTGGGCTGCATGCCAACGACAACACAGAAAGTTAACGAGGGGAACTACATTTGGAGGTCAGCCCCGAAAATAAAGCTATCGTCTGAGGGTAGCGTGGCACTGCGAGGGTCGCCGTGCAATATCCCTGATGGCCTGGAGAGGCTTGCCTTGTTGGCTTAAGCCCTCACGCATCCTCTAAATTCTTGGCCTCACACACGACCGGGCAAACATGTTTTGTGTTAGTAGGAAAACGAGTGTACCCGTGTAAAATGTTATGGTTGTTTTGTAATTAATTATTGTCATTAATTAATGTAATTAATAATTGAGGGATTTAAGAGATCAATTGAAAGTTATTTATGATGGAGTTTGTGTGTTTTGAGCAATTAATGCATTGAAATTTTTATGTTACGCGTATTTTGAACAGTGACCTACGAATTTATCAAAGATTGATTCATGGGACTCACAGATAGCGACCAAAGATAACAATTGTGACTACTCGGTCACTCTATATCTTGAATTCTTCTCTTCGATATTTTAAGAAGTTTTTTTATTTATTTTGTATTTTTCTATCGAATTTATATCATTCATAACTCATTTGACCTCTTTCTAGACTTACCTAACTTTATCTGAGACCGCCGCAATACGTTGATGATAGTTCGAGATTTTATCTGAGATAAAAAAATGAACAGGTTTCCTCTGGACTGAAAATTCCCCACACTATATTGATGCACAATCACGACGATCGAAGTCTAAACTGAGCACATTTCTCGTGTAAGTCAATATCGATTATTTTTATCTTTTCTTGAATTTTTTGCTGATATAAAATTATCGTACTCATTATTCCATGTGCTTGGATTTCTCGGTTCAGACCGCAGACCTTAGTGGAGGTTTAGATTACTAAGATCATGTAAACCTTGTTAGAAATTGTTGTTCGATTTGAATTTAGCGTTTTAACTGATCAAGTGAAGTATCTTTGAACATTTTAAATGTTGCAGCTGATTTATCTGATCATAATTATGTGTAAACGTCAATGCATTTCTTAGTGATCAGTCACGCTAAGTACACTGCAATTGCTGTGACGCGGCGAATGAGCTTTAACGTAAATTTTGACTCCAGGTAATTAGACACTAGAGGCCACCTTAATGAGACGACTAATTAAAGCTCATGCATGTTAAGTATGTCCATGAAATAACCACTGATGTACGCAGCTATTAACGGCTATTTCACGCTATTATCATTGGAAAAGCTAACTGCATTACGTTGGTTCAGCTTAATTTTTACTAGTAAGCAAAACATACTAGGAATTGAATTTTGAAACATTTAAATAATTTTAAATGTATGCCACTTTCAAACACATTGCTAAAAAATCCGAATATACGAAAATTCTAAAATATAACCACGGAAAGTTTTATTAGCGTAATGAATTTGCACACAAATCCGACTCACGATTACGTTATCACTTTTGATATTCACAACATTATATATTAAACAACACTTTAATCAGGATCACATACTGCAATGTGAATTTGAACTTTATTGAAAAAAAAATTGAAGGTCCGTTCAAGACTTTTTTCAGCAAGAAGTACGTAATTATTCTCTTTGTGTGACATGAATCCTTGTAATTTTAACATAATACCGGAAAATATAGATTTTTGTGAAAGCTAATATTCCTGAATAATTTCCAGGTAATTGCTTAAAAAATATGCAAGAAAAACATTAAAAAATACAAATTCATGTAGAATAATTTTACGAAATCACTGCACAGTTTTGATTAGCTTATTAAGTTTTGATTAGGCCACCAGTTAATTATAAATTTGTAACACTACGTTCGCCGCTATTATTGCATACTCATGTACTTTAATTAATTAATAAATAACTTTCCCTACACACATAAACTCATTATCTATAATTTAACCGTCAATATAATGCGATTACAAAATTTCCCATTTCATTTAGGATCTGTGATTAAAAGCAAAAGTACATAAACTACAAAAGATCGCGATGCGCTTGAAATCTTCCCCCCAGAAGGGATGCCATTAAACAATGAATAATTTAAATCATTCACTATTAGCTCCATTCAAATAACAGGCACTTTGGCACCACACTTTTGTATGGTGTACTGCAACGTTGGCATTCATCTCACTGTAAGCCACCATATCATGTTTCTCATTCCATTATCGATCATGAATATAGATATTTGATTGACATATCCTGTGATGTCCTTTCTTGAAGGTTAGTTCCCTGGCCGAGACCCAACATTATCTGCTCACGCGAAGCACCATTTCTTCTTTGCACGCGAGGGTACAGCGCTAGGGGACGACGCAGCTACGCACAACCTCGCCACGCCGCAGCTCGAGTGATACTGGCATCGAGCGCTGGGCCACGCTTTTTCTGGGCAATATTGGAGAATAAAAATTAGAAAGAATACGAGGCATTAAAAGTTCGAGACAACATTTTAGATTTAGTTGCCTCAACTATTTACAGTGATCTATTGCCAAGCATGAAGCTCCTAGTAATTTGTTTAGTCTATCTCTAAAAGAGGCTGTGGATTAATGGATGTGTTTTTATTCATGTTAAATATTGCTTTAATTTTGAGGGAATTTCAATAATTATGTAGAAAAATTAATATTCCTTAAGCTTCCGTGAATAATGAATGTGATATGTGTCGTCCATTTATTATATTACATACTCAATACCTCATATTAGAAGTTCAAGTCATGGACATGAGTTAATTAAATATTAGGTTCATAATCCGCAGACTTTTGAAGCCGTAGTCAATAAATACATTTTTACCACGAAAATATTGATCTTCATATGAAATGGTTCTATACCATTACCAAGAAAGTTACTTACAACAGTATTGCAATTCTCTTCTAAATGTTATTGATTAATTAAAAAACGACACTGAGATATGTACGTCACTTTCAAAACACATATTGGCCTGTAACGCAAATAAAGGCCGTCCTGGTTGAAGTCAAACAGAGAGCCAAACTAATCAAAGCTAATCGACTTCAAGTTATAGGTCATCTATTGTTTGAAGAACTGAGAGACACTCAAGTATTCTAATATTGTATAGTTTATAACAGTAGCAACGTGCTCCTGAAGCCTCCATTGTCTGACAACAGATGTCTGTTGATGATAAATATTAAATCAATTCATTTAACAGAAATAATATTATTGGTGGATATATTCGCGCACAAATGAACAAGAAATACAATAGGCTCTGCATGAAGCACATTTATCGGGTATTATTGTTCACTTCAGCACAGGCACTTGAAGGCATAAATGAACGTTCCAAAATTAATTTTCTAATTATTAGACAACCATTGTAAATATGGAAGATAAATAGATGCACAAGAAAATTCGTAATGAAAAGGCATATTTGATTTTAGAGGAAGTTGTTACTGAGTTACATGCAGCTACTGAAAATATTGCACTACACTATCTCCCACTTTGGTATGAAGAACTTTAATCAAGATTTAATTAGGAACTGATTCATAAGGCTACCCAATATTTCATTAGAATACCATCCGCTCTTTAATTGACATTTAGCTTCGCCATGGAGGCATGCAGCTTATTCAAGACCCGAATAAATAATAGGTTAAGGATTTAAATTGAAATCCTTGTAATGATATTCATGTTTTTTTCGGTACATCGTTATAATTTTATTAATTAGTTAACAAGTTAACATTTCCACTTTTTGTGAGTGTTGAACATTAGTGATGGTCTGAAATAAATTTTATAGTGATATTTTTCGTTGATTTAAAGATTGAGGTAATTTTTTTATACATTTTTACCATGCGTGCCGTAATCTCCAGGCTAATAGATCTATTACCTTCTCTCGTTCAGATTTGTCATGAATACGTGAATATTTTTTGCTTGCAATGCCCCTTCAAGTCTTCGGTAACGTAAACATCTCACCTATGTGCCGATGCTGGAGAAAACTCGAGCATGTAAATTATATACGAATGATGTAATAGACTTGTAATAATTTTACTTCTCGATTGTTGTTAGTTTAGGCGTTTTTTGCCCTGCCTGGCAGCACATTTTCACCAAAATCTAGGAATGAAATTCACTTGAATAATTATACGCATTCCGTACCTTTCATCTCCACGCTGTAGTGCGAAGTTCGATTGCATTTTTGCCCAAGCACGTCGCGTTTGCCGTTATTTTTTCGGTTTGTGACGTTGCAAAGGATTTGCCTGTTCCCTCATCGGTGTTTTCGTTCGCGTTGGAATATGAATTACTTAATCAAAATTCAAGGTATTCTAGCTGTCAATACATCTCTGTTTTTAGATTGCAAAAAGTGCTGTTATTTTTTTATTGCTTGAATAATTGATTGATTTAAGCTAGAAAAAATCATTGGTCTTTTGCAGCATCTGATAATTTTTACTGATAGTTAACTAACATGTCACAAAATTTTTCGCCCATGTATCATCGAGTCAGTAATTGTCCAAAATATCTTAATTTTAATTGTTTAACCTGGACATATGATGCATTTAGTAAGAAATGTCACTGAAGATAAATACCGGTATGCAACCTTGCCTGAGTTTCAGTCGATTAAATGGAAATGACTGCTTGCGATCGCTGGCTCATCCTAGTTGATGCGGGCTCCAACCCTGCACTGCTGCGGGCTCTAACTCTTGCACTTCTGTGGGCTCTAACCCTAAACTTCTGCGGGCTCTAACTCTGTACTGCTGCGGGCTCTAACCCTGAACTTCTGCGGGCTCTAACTCTTGCACTTCTGTGGGCTCTAACCCTAAACTTCTGCGGGCTCTAACCCTGCACTGCTGCTTTCTCTAACCCTGC